ATATTTCTTACGTACGTTGTTAATTTGTCATAGTGGCTTGCATTACAGATCTCTTGCTCTCAGTACAAATCTAATCATTCTATAAATATAATGAATGTACACGTTAGGTCTGAAGAAAAAAAAATTTTCGATTATTTTTAACTGTTTGAAAAAAAAAATGATTATATTAATAAGTTGCAGATATATTTTTATCGTTTTGGAATTCTTTTTGAAGAAACTGCAATGGCTTTTGACCTTTTTTTAATTAGCCAACCATTTCAATAAATGTCACCCTTTTTCCCCTTATTTTAAGAAAATAGACTTATGTAAACAGCGTTCGTCTTACCTAGCCGATTTCTAAACATCATAGAGAGATACATGAGTAGCCTGATATATCATTAAGGGTGTGTTTGGTTAGGGAAATGGAAAGGAATGGAAATGAATCAAGATTCATTCTTATGTTTGATTAGTTTTAAAAAAAGGAATGACTATTTAAAATGGAATGATTTTTTCATCAAATGGGTGAATCATCATTCCTTCCTCATATGAGAAGAATGTCAATTCCAAGCTCTTTTAATTTTCTTTTCCATCATTACCCTTAAATATTATAATTATAAATACTATAATATTAATATATATAATTTATAATTATATTTATTATTAATATAATATACAATATAATCGTCATATTATAATTATTAATAATAATAGTTATATTTAACATTATAATGTAATAAAATATAATATAATATAGTTGTGATATTGTAATAAATAATTATAATAATAATAATTAGGATAGTAGTATTTTCTATAAAATTAAATATGATAATTTCATATTTTATAAATAATCATGTAATATAATATTATATCATATTATGTTGCATAATTACAATATAAATTTATATTATAATAGATAATATACTATAATTAGAAATGATAATATACTATATTATATATTATAATTATAATATGTTATATCATATTATATTATTACATTTTTTATAATTATACTATATTTCTAATAATATAATATAGTATAGTTGTAACATTATAATATAAAATAATCACAATATCATTATTTTATTATATTATATATTATGATGGTATTATAATAATAAATATTATATAACTATAATTATAATTATATATATTATATCCTTATAATTTTATATATATAATATTAGTTATTAAATAATTATATTAAAATATATGATATTAGTTATATTAGTATGAGGGGTAATTTTGTCAACATGAAAATATTCATATTTTATTTCATTGCATTTGTAAACGTAGAACTAAACAAATAAATCATTTTTTCTTTCCATTCCATTCCGTTACCATTTCTATTTTCATTCCCAAACCAAACACACCTTAAGGGTCGATTATGTTTCCTTTTTCTAAAGGTATTTGTGGTGGATCTGCGCCGTGTGATTACCATCAAGGAAGACAAGAAGAGAGCTACATAAAAAATGTTTGGATTGAGCCTGGACAATGTCCAGCAGTGCCAAAGGCCCAGTTTACTTGGGAGTTGGGCCGCTGGGCGAGGGGTTGAGAAAGCAATAAGTGTTTCTAGTCCAACGATTGCTTCCATTCAAATTAAGTTGCGTGGTTGTTTCCATCTACATTTTATCACATATTTTACATTAGATCTATTTATGCAACTGTTTGGTAGATCAAGTACTAGTTGGAATTTTCCTGGAAAAAAAAAGTACTACTTGGAACGTCTAGAAAGTCACGAAGAAAACTCTAATCTTATGTCAAAATGGAGATAGTCCTTTAAAATGTGCATATAGGAAACTGACTTTTTAAAATATTGTTTCAATAAATGTTCAAATTTTTATTGAATTAAGTAAAAAGAAAAAATGGCTGAACTTATTCTTAGAATGTATGAGCTTGAATTTATACTCATTACTCTTGATTAATACCCTTTAGTCTAATTAGTTATTTGACTAAAAAGGATATTTGTTGGGGCCTGGTAGATTCGATGAGTACGACGTGTACAAGGTATACATGTGCAAGTACCGAATTCAGTAGTGTCGATACTGACGCGTACGAAACACACGTCGTTCACAGAAGAGCTTGATACGGTTGGACCTCCAACGAAAGAGAGGGGATCAGTTAGCCCCAAAGTAAGTTGAAGTAATCAAATTCTAGGACCTACTTTGCTGCCAAGTTGTTGAGGCACTCTCGACTACGCGCGTTGGAAGATGTTAAACTCGGTCATGAAAATCGCATGGACAAAATATAGTGGGAGGAGTAACCGAACGGTTGATGAAGATTTGACTCGGAGAGTCTGGATAAGGCTGTTTCAGAGGATGAATGCTCTAAGGACAAGCACAGGTTGCCTCCGGAGTGGCTGTCTAACTCGTAAAGTGCGGATAAGCCTGTTTCAGAGGAGAAATGCTCTAAGGACAAGCACGGGTTGCCTCCAGAGCGGCTGTCTGACTCGTAAAGTGTAGATAAGGCTGTTTCATAGGCGTACTTAGAGAACAAACACAGGTTGCCTCCGAGAATGTGTATCAGCAGATGAAGTTTATGGTTTTCTAGAAGCATACTCCGGGACGGCGGAGTCCATCCACGGGGGCGGATTTTTGGACCTCCGGAGAAACCTCAGAAACTTTAAATATAGTTTGTAGATGAGTTTGGACGGATCAAACGAAGTGTTTTGAGACTTTTTGAGTGAAATTTCAATGAAGAACTTCAAATTCGAAGAGCACAAGTTTGAAGAACAACTCTTAGAGGGATGAACTCAAGTGTTAGAAAAACTTTTCAAAAGTCCCAAAAGATGTATCCCCGGTCCCCCTCGAAATGAAGAAGTTAAGAGGTATTTATAGGAGAAGTTTGGAAGATTTTAGCGGTTGCTCCGGAGCCGTACGATCAGAGGCCTGTACGAACCATTTCCCTCCAGAGCACTTGTACCATGTGACTTTCCTCTTTGACAAATAAATTGGCCAAAAAAGGTGTATTTGGAGACCAAGTCTGAAATTCTTGCTGACATTAGATCTTCCCAAGGTCTGAAGATCATGGAGTAATTGACTGAATTTGGTGCTCTTGAGGTATTTCTATTTTCGAAGGTCTAAACACACACCAGACCAGCTCTAGAACACTGCCTTCCGATTTTGGCTAAACAACCGTCGCTGAAGCACCTGACACATTCAATCTCCATGGAGCTGACACATTCAATCTCCATGGAGCACGAGAAGAACTTTCAGACACAGGGGAGTCTCTCAGAGCATAGGAGGTATCTTTGGTCACAGAGGAGTTTCTTGGAGCATGGGAAGTATCTCCATGGTGACATATGTGGTTATACCTCTGTGGGGGCATCCATAGTGATGCCTTTAGAGCAACAACTGTCACGGAGATGAATCATTGTCAGCTCTGGAGCAGAAAAACTTCTCATCTAACATTGGAGGGGAAAGTTCCATAACTTAAATTCTGGACTTTCGAGTCTCCAAAGGCTGAAAAAGGGTTTCTAAGACTCCTAAAAGGCAAATAGAAGATTTTAGGATTGGATTCTCCATCACCCATTCATTTTTAGCCTAATTATTTTAAAACTCCCCAAGCGGGACTTAAAATCGAATCAGAGCCCAGTCTCGTCACAGGATAAAATCATTAGACATGGACCCTTGTATGAGCTTGATACAAAAACGGCCATCAACAATATTAATCAAGTTAAAGATAAAAATCTAAACTCATGCATTTTAAGAAGTATTTGTCTCTTTTTTCCTTTAAAAAATGATGGGTTTTTTTAAAAAATGATTGGATTATTTTGGTAGTCAAATCACAGATTGGGCGCTATCAAAAGAAAGTATTATAAACTAGTGTTTGTCAATGATTTATTAGTCCGTCACTAATTAATTTGGTTTTAAAAAAAAAAAAAAGTTGAGACATTTTTTAAAAGAGGTGGCAAAAACTGACCAACTTTACTTGATTTCCCACTTTATAAAATGACCGGATTCTTTTTAGGCCCCATTCATTTCGCTGATTCGAGTTTAGAATTCGAGTTTTACTACAGTAAAAAGTTCTCACAAACAGTCATATCTAACTTTTTTGTTACAGTAAAAAGCTCTCACATAAAATCACATCTCAACTCGAATTAAAAACCGAATCAACGAACTAAACGGGCCCTATTTTCTTGAAAAAAGAAAATTTGTTGGAACAATTCTAAGTTTTGTTGAATTCAGACACTTGATGTTCTAAGCCTCATATTCCTTTGGATTGTAAATAATTAATTCAGCCTAAGTAAAATATGCATTAATTCATTATCCAGTTTAGACTACCTCTTATGTTTCATTTATACGATACATGTCGATCATGAAACTTTCAGGAATGAAAATTTTTCTTTCGTTTAGTCCATATTTTAATATGTTATATGCTTCAAAATAACTACATAAGTATAGTTGAATCAATTATCAAAAAGAATTTATATTGGTAATTTTAGGATACAAATGGTCCGTAATGTTTCCAATAAGAGAAACATGTTTCTTGAAGCAGAAATCCGATGCCATTTGTAGCTCATCTTTAAATTATTATCATCGGCAAAATATCGTCACCAGCTAGCTTACTACCGTTCGAAAGATTGAGAATTCTGGGATAGAGTACAAAAAATGGACAACAGCTTTGGTTTTGAACGGTAAGTTTTCTATCAAATTCTGTTAAATTATTATTTTTAAAATCTAATAAATATGATTTAATATAATCTGCCAGTTTATAAAAAGTGTTTCCTACTAGTATGGTATATTTCCTTTATATCCTAACGAAAAAAACAAGGAACATTTTCATGAGAAAAAATTTCCGGCGAGATATGTTCTTTTCAACTACCGGTTGTTATTGATGTTCTAATTGTTGAATTATGATTTTAACAATGTGATATGTACGTAATTATTGCAATTCTATGTCGTGCACTACAAAATTTTATCACAGAGTGTCACATATCATACCGTTAAAATCTTAATCGAATAATTTAAACAACAATAACTACCGATAGTTAAAAAAGATAAGTATTACCGTAATAGTTCCAAAAGAAATAATAATAATAATAATAATAGTTGCACAGCAAAATGAATGAAAGAATAAACTTTACTTCAAACTTCTCCCCTTCCAAAAAAACAGAAGAAAGAAAAAGTTACACTTCAACTGTAGTTTGATTAAGGGCCAAGTATCTCCATCTCTCCTTCTCCACAAAATCCGCGTCCAAAAAGCGAGCAACAAATGCCCAAAGCCTGTAAATATCTTCGAAGTTGGTCACTAATCCTAATGAAGCCGTGATTGCAGATATCCCACTTTCCTCTATTTCATCTCTTTCTTTGTTGATCAACACTTTCTCTTCTCCCATTTCAATATGGTCAATATTTTTTCTTCCAATATTACTTGTAACACAAGTCGTCTCTAATCTTCTCTCTTTCTCCTCCTCATTCTTGTCACAAAAACATACGTTTTGTAGAAATCCACAGCTCAGAGAAATGTTGTTCCTGTCAGCAAGTTTCTGAACAAGTTTTGGATTAATCTTCTCTCCTTGCCAATCAAACACGTTGAAAGCCACACTTGGTCCTCGGTCAAAACCCATTTTCGGACCATAAATTCTGATTAGTGAATGCCCATTTTCCGAATTTGGGTGCTTAAGCCTAGTTAGTGCATTCACTAGCCAGTTTATCAAGAACCTGGCTCTTGCACTAATCAGAACTAGGCCTAAAGAATCTGCATGATCCAATCCCTTACATTCAATCTTGATCAATTTAGATCCTGAGGGCTTTTGTGTTTCCAACTCTATGATCTCCGAAGATTGAACTTTATCTTGATCTTGATCATGATCATCTTTTAGTACTGCTGAGTCAAACTTTGGCTCTTGATCATTCTCTGTATTGTCTTGATCTTGATCTTGATCTTCAGCCACATGATGAGGTACTAATTGTGTTGATGCTGGGACAAGGCTGACAATCCCAATGCTTTCGGCGGCAGACAAATCTGTTAGGAGTGAAGCACTAGTTTTCTTGACAAACAAGCAACCAAACCCAGAAGGGTTTTCTCCAAAAACTTTGTAAAATGAGCATATAAGAAAGTCAGGCTTAAAGAGAGATAGGCCTAAAGTTTCCATGTCCTTTGGTCCTAAAGCACAAGCATCAAGCAAAACATGCCAACCATTTTCCCTTGCAATACTCATCCAAAGATAAGAGTACCTGGAGCCAGTCATTCTAGACTGGAGAGGGAAAACAAACAATCCTTTCTTATTTCTAACCTTCTTCTTGTAATTACTACTACTACTAGCACTCACTATCATATTTCTTAGCTTTCTTGTCTGAATTCTCATGCTTGGCCACGAATACTCCGCGGACAAGACTCTCGCGCCTCTTCTCTTCGTGTTTTCGGTCATGATCTGCACCGCCTCGCTCTTGAAGTCGTAAACCGTGAGGAGATTTCTATTGGACTGAAAAGGGTAAGAATTAGAAAGAAGTTTGAAGGCAGAGGATTGGTTTGAAGTGAACACCATGGTGTAATCTTCCTCTGAGACGTTCATGAATTCCATGACCCTCTTTCGGATGCTAAATTCAAGTTCCGATTCTTGGCTTCCATAAAGAACTTGTGACTTCAAGTTCACTGCCTTGAAGCAGATATAAAAAAAGTGCGACTCAGGGAAATCGAAAGGTTGAGGAGTAAGAGAAGATGACGATGAAGAAGCGACTGCAGTACTACTACTATCCCGAGCCTTTGAAGAGCAGGAGAAAAGGCCATGGCCAATATAGTCAAGACAAACATGGTTTGAGAGGGCAAGATGGTAATATTCTCGCGACCGGAGTTGGTCGGCTTGGTGAGTTTGTAAGTATCGGGGGAATGCTCTGATGAAATGAGAAAAAGATTCATCCAAAGAAGGAAGAGACTCATGGTTAGAGAATTGTGTGTTTGGATGCAAAGAAGAAATTGTGGCAAGTATAAAATTGTACTGTGATGATGAGGCTGTTGTTATAGTACTACTTGTAGTATTAATGGTGCTACTAGTAGTTGTGGATTTTGGTGAGTGATGAGGTTGAGATGATTCATAAGGAAGGCTGAGAAAAGATGGCTTGACACAGCAACCCTGAAAGCAGGCTTGTGAGGCTTCTCTAATGCAATTAGGCGATGAGTTCATTTTCTCCATTTGATCGTATTTTATTTGATCACTTTTGTGTTTTATTCAATTCCTTTCTCAATTGGGTCCCTCCTACTTTTTTTTCTCCACTTGTGTGGGGCACAATTTTGGGTGCATAAATGTGAACGAAAAGTCACGGTCATTGGGGCGGCGTGTGTACAGGTTGTCTTCCAAGGGCATCACATGAGGAAGCCTTTATTCTCAATTGACCCCCTCGTCTTCCATTAATATCCTTCCACAATGCGACCTTTCTCCTTGAAAGATTTTGGTCTCGTTCATTTCACCGATTCGAGTTTTCAATTTTAAGTTTCTACAGTAAAAAACTCTCAGAAAATGTCACATCTAACTTTTTCTGTTACAGTGAAAAGCTCTCAAAAAATATCACATCTCAGCTTGAATTAAAAACTCAAATCTGCAAAGTGAACGAAGCCTTTATGTCCCATTTTCTTGTCTCTCATTGTCTATCCTTTCAATTATATTTTAGCATCTCGTGATTCCTTTTAAGTATTTTTTGTATTTAGTCCATATTTATATTGTTAGATACTTAGATTATTAAATTTAGATGACGTGATAAATGAATAGTAAAAGAACAACTAACGAGATAAAAAAAAAAAGAGGATAACAGTGACGTGATAAATGAATAGTAAAAGAACAACTAACGAGATAAAAAAAAAAGAGGATAACAAACCTAGACTCCATGTCCTTAATTCTTGTCTTTCTTATATTTGCTAAAGAAACACCTAGTTTTGCCTTGTTTTGACCCCAAATCCAAGGTGTTTATAAAAGTTTAATCATACATAGCATTATGATAAGTACAAATATATTGTTAGGTAGATAATTATCTATTACTAGGTCGCTTTAATGGGGTCCGATCAAAGTAGCTAGGATAAGGATCTTGGATCTATTAGATGAATACAAGAGAGCCTGAAAACTATCACTAAATTTTTAAGTGTATATTGCATTTCATCCATTCATAATGGGGAAATTAATGAGATAAAAGCAAGTTTTTTCGTATCCAACACGTACTTTTGTCATAAAAATAGTGCCATTTCTTTCTTTATTTCCTTAGAGATTCTGTACTAAAAGTATGTAATTTATACTAACAGTGTAATGTTACGAACCGTTAAATTTACGCACATTTTATTTTGATATAATTGTGATATTATGAAGAGTCTAAATTATGTAGTACCGTTAAAATATATTTTTAATACTCTACCATAAAAATTTTTTTTCTTTTTTGTCTCTTTAGTTATTTTTTAAGAAGACATTTTGGTAGTCCGTCGAAATAAATTTGAGGTGAAGCTCTTGGAACAAAGTAGAAAGAAAATGGAGTGGTTGTGGTGCGTCCGAGAAAGATAAAGGTTTATCTTTTCTTCGCGTTCCTTGTGAAACTTTTTATTCTTTCTGTCTCTCTCTTTAAAAAAAAAAAAAAAAAAAAAATACTTTTTTCATGTTTCTAAAGTTACATTATTTTAGGAAAGAAACAAAGCATAAAAGGGCTTCGCCTGAAGAACGTTTTCATGGGAGCTTTCAATTCATCAGTGGCCGGCACTATCCATGAAGTGCTGGTCGTTTTCTTTGAACCATTCTCTACCACATCATTACCAATTTCTTGGAAGAAACTATATACATACAAATTAGTACAAAAAAGCAAACTGATTTTTCTTTTCTTTTATTTATTTTTTTTAGGTTTTTAATACCAGTACTTATTTTCTCACGATTTTGCATTTTCATCTTTATTTTTTTTTATTTTTTTAATTACCGAATTAGTTCTTACGTCTGTTTTGAGAAGTCCTAAATCAAACAATTCAGGAGGCACGGCACGTATGACATTTTTTTTTTTTTTAAAAGTTTCCTCTAAAGTGAATTATTTTGTCCTTGCTATAAATAGTCAAACTGTATAAATAGACAATTGATTTAAATCTCAGCAAGTCTTCCACTAACAACTTTTGGGTCAATCAGAGAAACTTCTCAGAGGCTTCTGAGACTAAATTATTATCTTGGTATTATTAAAGCCTCATTCAGTGTTGATTCGAGTTTTTAATTTGAATTAAAATGTGATTTTATATAAGAATTTTTAATTATAGTAAAAAAATTAGATGTGACTTTTTATGAGACTAATAACAGTAGTAAAACTGAAATTAAAAATTTAAATCGGTGAAATAAACAAAGAAAAAATAAATAACAAGTAATTTTTTACTTTTCAATTAAATTTATATAAAAAATTATTTATTATACGTACTTTTTTATTTGAATATTATTTTAATCAGATCTAATAATTACAAACTCACACTATCAATAAAATAACATACCCAAAAAAGTCTCATATTATTATATCTAACTTGCATAAAGTTTCAAAGACTCGTTGGTTTTACAGCAGAAAATAGAAAAAGACTCTTTGCTTTTTGGTACTCATATGTTCTATTTATAATCCTTTTTTCAATGACTTTGAAAGTCAAGAGTATAATCATTTTGGAGTGAATAAATTAAGTTAAAGTGAGCAAAACCGAGCTTGCAAATTTTGTCTTATAAATTAGGGCCCCAAAATCTAATCGGGATGTTCATTTGTTTACCAAGCAAGCTGCAAGCATACGTTGTTTTGGTAAAATTTGTAGGAAATTTTTTTTTTCTTAGTGTCGAATTCAAGGACTTCGATATCAAATATGATCTTTATTAATGTGGGGTGATAATAATTAATCAAAAAAATAAATATAAAATAGAAGAATAAAAAGATTTAATATGGTTCGGTAATATGCTTACACTTATAGATTAAGAAAAAGGAAGAATGCACGCTTGTAAGGAGCATTATGAATGAGCTCCATATAAATAGATATTACAAGCACATAATTAGGTAAGTTACCTAAGATTAAGAATAATAGATTTTCTAATATGAAAATAAATACAAATAATATCAAAATAATAATAAATGGAACTTTTCCCTAATCATGCCCCGCAAAGAAATGGAGCTCTTTTAGGAGATTCCGGTCTTGTGAGGTTTTTGTTTTTGTTTTTTTTCCCCTTATAAAATGAAGACAAAGTGGTTAGTTGTTCAGGGACAACTATCGCTGAGACATGCAGGGAGAAGACGCAATCGTTGGAAAGAGGAAGGTGTATGGACGTAGAAGAATTGCTGGAGGCAGACGACTTGAGGATTAGAGGTGCACAACCTAGAGGTTTGAACGCACACGATTTGGGAACACGAAGGCACACGGTCTAGGTTTGGAACCCGCGATAATTTTTAAGCTATATTAAAGAAAAAATATAAAACAAAGACGTTTTGCCGTGAAAGATTAATGACTCGTTAAAATATAAAACTCTAATACCGTAATAATAATGAAATAAAAAAATAAAAAAATAAAAACAAGAGATTTCCTAATATAAAAATAAATACAAATAATAAAAAAATTTATAATATGAAAATAAAATACAAGTAATGTCAAAACAGTAGCAAAGATAACTTTCCCTAGGGTTAGGGAAGGATTTTGATTGAGGAAAGAGTTGCCACTTATCATAGACATATTCCACAAAATATACATACATTTGTACATATATATTTATGTGTATATATTGTTTTCCAAGTTCGAGACTCTTATAATGGGCATTATTTAATGCTGGCCAGCAGCCAACATTGAATGGATTTGTGGAGAAGCAAGAAACGATACCTAATGACATGACTATCAATGAAGCAATTAGACATCATCTTCGTTTTCTTCATCAGGAATGAAAAAAAAAAGAAAAAAAAAAAAAGATCTTTGTTCCCTGCCCTTGAAGGTGTTATACTGCATTCAAATGTCTAATTAATATTGAAAACGACGCTACAATTTGGTAGCTTTTCTTCGACTTTGAAACAAATGCTGAAGAATAAAGATTTTGGGCTTGTTCTTTTGGAGTTTAACTTGAATATAATTCTTGAGTTGAATTTGAGTTATAACTTGAGTTGAACTTATAACTTGAGTTTGTGTTTGGTTGTGTACATTTGAGTTATGATTTGAGATAAGAATCTTTTTGAATTTGTGTTTGAGTGAGTCAAAACTTGAATTTGTATTTAGATAGTATTTTAATAAAAACTCAATACTGATGAAAAATTTTAATATGATATATGGGTCGGGTTTTATTCGTCTTTTCGTTGTCAACGCATAGAAAAAAAATCATCTCAATCAGAATTAAAATGAAAAAGTTATAGCATTTTTAAGAATAGAAAAAATACTGTTCATTAATTTGAGTTCGAATTTCTGAACTCGAGTTTTAATCGTAAACTCGAATTTAAACTTAAAAGATTATGAACTAGAATAAAATTGTAACTCAAATTTTTTTTTTTTTTATTTTTCACTCAAAAGAACAAGTCCTCTATTTTTTTTTTATCCAGATCCTTTAAAAAAATTAATTGATAAAACACATTATTTTTACTGTTTTGTTAAGTTTTTAATAATCAAATATTAGCAAATTCATATTAAAATTTTACAACACACTGCGCTAGAACTACTCCCTTTACTACCATTAAAAAAAATGACCCAACAGTTTTTATTTATATATATATATATATATATATATATATATTATGTCTATCTGTTTCTATTATTCTCTTATAAAAGAGTGTCCGTTTTTGTTTATAATTTTTTTGCAGAATGATTAGGAAAGGTACTGGATACGGGGAAAAAAGGAAAATTGTTGAGAGTGGGATTTGAACCCACGCCCTTTCGGACCAGAACCTTAATCTGGCGCCTTAGACCAACTCGGCCATCTCAACTCAGTTGTTATCCGTTTGTCTTCCAATTTTTATAAATATGACTATATTCTGAGAACTATATTTGGTTCGGTGGCCTAGAAAGGTTCTTTAAAAGCATTTCTATTGATATTAATTATAAAAGAAACAAATGACTTCAAGTAATTCAAACAAAAAATGAATCAAATGTCATGAAAACCAAGAGTGACAATGTTGAGTAAATTTGAAAATAACAAGTGCGTGTTATGTAGGAGCTAGCTAGCATTTGTATAAAGTT